TTAAAATAAAACAAAATACAAAACCAAGAATTTTAACACAATAATAGCATATTTTTAAATACGGTAGCTATTTTCACCATGTATTCTCCTAATAAGATATTTTAAAATAAAATAAAATACAAAACCTAGAATTTTAATACAAAAATATCATATTTTTGAATACGGTAGCCATTTGCGCATAGAAGATAGATCGTCGGGACAAATTTTTTTTTTTCATTTTATTGTACATAAAATAAGCTTTAATTTGATATATGTTTAAAGGACGCAGTATTTCCGGAACATTTTCAAAAATTAAGTTGAAAAAGTTANGCAGTATTTCTGGAATATTTTCAAAAATTAGGTTGAATAGGTTAATTTTTGTAAAAAAAGTTGCTATTTTAAATCCCCCTCAATGAGCAGGTTAAGTGTTAGATTTTCAAAAAAATGATATCAAACAAAAGGGAAATATCTAAGGTTTTAGTATAAAAAAAGTTATGTTGACTTGTTTATTTTTAAAAAAGTTATGGAAGTTTTAAGAAAAAAATTTATCAATTTTTAAGGGTAATTTTCCCTCGTTCCCCGCAAATGGGGGAAATATCCAAAAAAATTACAAATTTAAAAATCGGTAAATTTTGTCATTTTTTTCACTTTTTTTTCTTAAAACTTCCATAACTTTTTCAAAAATCAACAAATCAACATAATTTTTTTTTATACTAAAACCTTAGATATTTCCCTTTTATTTAATATCATTTTTTTGAAAATCTAACACTTAACCTGCTCATTGGGGGGGATTTAAAATAGCAACTTTTTTACAAAAACTAACTTTTTCAATTTAATTTTTGAAAACGTTCCGGAAATACTGCGTCCTTTAAACATATATAAAATTAAAGCTTATTTTATGTACTATAAAATGAAAAAAAAAAATTTGTCCCGACACTTTATCTTCTACATGTAAACGGTTGCCGTAGTTAAAAAAACACTATTTTTGTGTTAAAATTTTCGATTTTCGATTTTTAATTTTCAACTTAAAAATGCTATAACTTTTCGAAAAATGTATGTATCAGCACAATTTTTTTTTTTCTAAATACATTATAAGTACATCTTCCATTTGACATACTTTTTATTAAAATTAGACAATTTCCCCTTATATAGGGGGGGTTCAAACTTTGAAACATTGTATAAAAAATAGAACTTTTTCAACTGAACTTTTGAAAATGTTCCGGAAATACTGCGTCCTTTAAACATATATCAAATTAAAGCTTATTTTATGTACTATAAAATGAAAAAAAAAAATTTGTCAAAAATATGATTTTTTTTTTTATTAAAATTCTAGGTTTTGTATTTTATTTTATTTTAAAATATCTTATTAGGAGAAAATATTGACTTTCATGAATATTATATACTTTAATTGACATAGAATAAAGTTCATAAGACATAAGAAATTAAACTTATTCAAATTTTGTTGCTTTTTTAAAGTCGAAAAAGTAATTTTTAAATTTGAGCTAGCTTAAATAGCCAATTTTTTAAATGTCACAAAAACAACGAACAGTTGCCGAGTCGGTAACATTTGTATCTTACACGCTTGGGAAACGAGGTTCAATTCCGTCTGTGGCAAATTAATATTTTGCATTTTTTTGAATTAGAATAAAATTTTCAAATTATTTGATATTTATCTCATTTAGATTCAATAACTTCAATAAATATAAAGGATCCTATCATTATAATCTCCCCTCGTGAGAAAAAATTTATATTCATGTTAATATTACTTTACTATGTAGTTCTTTTTGTGGCTACGATTTATTTTGCCAACCCTCACTAGACCTACTTTTTTCAACGATACGCCAAATGATTACAATTCGTATTTAGTTGGAGGTATTACCCTTAAAAATCGACAAAATATTCCATATTCAAATAAAAAGTAGCTTAACCAGCTTTTACCATACAAACAATAAAAATCATTAATTTCTAATATTCTTAAAGTATTTATTTTCGAATTAGATTTGATATGATAAAAGTATTCAACTACAATAGTAAATAATATTACTTTGTAATTTATTAATTTTTTAAATCTATTTGTGTGTGCTACTACCAATCTATAATATTCCAAATGTTTTTGTAACATGTTGCCATATAAATCTTAAATTTAAAAAAAAATGATTTTTAGTTTCACCTGAATTTAACGATGGATTTTTACAATTATAATCAAATATTATAATACGCTCAATTGAATAAATCTTTTTAACAACTTTTTTTTATTGGTTCTTTTAGTTAAAGTAAATCAAAATTAATTAAGTTATAAATAATTCCATTGTAGAATCTTTTTACACACCAAAAGTTAATTAGAAATGATTACTATGATTTCTATTTAAGTGATCTATTACGATAAAAATGTAAAAAAAATCGAACTTTTCTGATAAATGTACTGTAAATAGTAATTATAAAATTTCCTAATTGCATATTAATCTTAACAATTTCATTTTTTCTATTTAATAATGTCAATTTCAAACTTGCAAGTTGAGTTAAAAGTTATGGTAATAAATTCATTTTTTTTTTATTAAAACTTTCACATTAAAGGACAAAAAAAAGTAGGTTCAAAATGATTACTTTTAACATATTAAAAATCAAAATCAATAATAATTTGAAAACAATTAATTTTAAAAATTATATAATATGTAATTAAAGAATTACCAATCTGGGTATAATTAAGGAAATAAAAATTGATGTTGCTTTTGTCTATACATTTTTTAGAATTTTTTAAACACTATCTATAGATTTGGATCGAACTATGCAACGTCCCCACTGTGTTGGTTTTTTTTTTAATAATTTCTTTTTTTTTTTGGTCTGTTACCACTTTTTCTCAGCTATAACCAAACCAATTTCTTTCAATGATATGTCAAAAGATCACAAATCGTATCTAGTCGAATACATTACTCTCAAAATTGAAAAAATTTCCCTCCTTCCTCGTAAATGGGCGAAACCTCCAAAAAAATTACAAATTTATAAATCGCTAATTTTCAAAATTTTTTCAATTTTTTTTACTTAAAATTGCCATAACTTTTTAAAAAATAACTAAATCAATATAATTTTTTTATATAGATGCATAATATCATTACCTTTCATTTGGTATATTTATTTATAAATCTGACCTTTTACTTGCCTACAGGGGGGATTAAAAATGACAACTTTTTCACAAAAAAATTACTTTTACACTTAATTTTTGAAAATGTTACGGAAAGTCTAACACTTATATATATAT